TACTGTTTAAATTATGCTATTACTGCTTGGGGTAATTGCTCCCGATCGCATGAAATATTTTTGTTCTAAAAAAGGATTATTCGTACAATGTACTTTAAACCGAAACATTATTCCTGCAGAAATATATTTATTGAAACGCAAATTTTGACATTTTCCAGTCTATACATATTGAATTCGGTAACGACGGTTAAATCTAATTATAATGAATATATACGAGGTTAGCGCGAAAATTTCCTGGCCTGACATAGATGCAGCTCCAATATCACGATAAAATTTGTCTTCTTTTAAATATTATCTTAGTATGCTGCGAAAAAAAATTGAAGTCTTGCGTCAAATAATTTTTTTATTGACATCATTTTAAACAATACGTGTCCGAAAAAATGTAGCACATAACGCAAATTGAGTATAAAGCAGTCATAAAATTTTTGACAAAAGAAGTGTCTAAAATTATTAAAGAAAGGCTGGATGTTGTGTACGGCCAAAGTTCTCCTTCGTATTCTGTAGTGAAAGAATGGGCAAAAAGTTTTCGAATGGGGCAGGAGTCCCTTGAAGATGATTCAAGAACTGGTCGACCAGTGGAGGTCATAACGGAAGATATTGTTGGGATTGTGGAAGAGGTGGTATTGAGTGATCGACGTTTATAGGTCAAGGAAATCTCAGAAATTACTAAGCTTTCTGACACAACTCTTCGTCGAATCCTGCATGATCATTTAGGTATGCGTAAGATTAGTGCAAGATGGGTTCCTAAAAACCTTTCCGCTATTCAAAAACAACGCTGTATCGAGCGTGCGCGGTCTTTTTTGGAACTCTGTGGGTCGGAACCGAAGCCTGTGATAGAAACTATTATGACGGGCGATGAAACTATGGTTCTCTATTATGACCCTCTATCGAAATAAGAATCAATGGAGCGCCGTCGTAAGGGTGAAGCACCTCCAAAAAAATTCTGCCAGTCAACAAAAAATGTGATGGCCACGACCTTTTTGGATTGTGAAGGAATTCTTTGGATAGATTTTAAAGAAACTAATACCACTGTCAATGGTAAATATTACGCAACATTACTACATAAGTTGCGAGACTGCATACGTGTAAAACGTGGAGGAAAACTGACCAGAGGCGTGCGTCTTTTGCACGATAATGCACCTGTCCATACTGCTGGTGTTGCACAAGCTGCCATTTCAGAGTGTGGGTTCCAACAGATAGATGATCCTCCCTATAGTCCAGATATGGCCCAGCGACTATTATTTGGACTATTATAGGACTTACGTGGATTTCGCTTTAACAACGAAGTTGAGTTGTTAGCTCATTTTGCAGACAAACCAAACGAATATTTTTTTGAAGGCAATGAGTTGTCAATAAAGAGATGTAATAAGTGTAGTAAAACTAAGGCGGATTATATTGAAAAATAATAAAAAAAATTGTTACTCTACTTTGTTTCTTTCATATTCAGGCCGGGAAATTTTGGCGCTGCCCTCGTAGGTACGCGTGCAACCAATGAACATCATAGTTTCAGACATAATTATGATCTAGATATTCCAAAACATCAATCAAGTTCGATAGCAAATAGCTCAATCGTCCTTCCTATAAAACTTTTTAATAAATTACCACCTGGGACGAGACCGATTTCGGGCTGCGGTCAGTTTAAGGCTAAGGCGAAACGATTGCTTATCCAGAAGGCATAGTTCTTGAAGTCCTCCTTGAAAACCTTTCAGAACATCACAACCGATATGTTGGGAAATGTTTTAAATTCGACAATTTCAAGGTGTTACCTATGTTTGGAAAACAATGGTCACTCGTTAGAACATTGTTCATTGTTTATTTATTTTTTGTAGTACCTATTTGGCTATTTGCAACTTTTTTCTAATTTACCTAGCTTCGTATCTCTTATGGTTTCCAATACCTTATATATGTATACCCACCATCCCTCGACGCGACGCATCATCTGATGCATAAAACTTATCGTTAACTTGAAGGTAAGAGTTATGCAGGCAGCATCTTAAAAGCTCCCTTAAAATAGAGGCGAAATCCCTTCGGAAAAATGTTTTCTCTTCTTTTCTTTCACAAGGACGTTGGTGTATAGACTTTTTACATCGAAAGTAATGAATTTGTATGAAGGCCTTGATTCCATGTTTTTAAAGATACAGAATATTTCTTAACTAAAATATATTTTCTTCGTATCTTCAGTCACAAACGAACTGACGGTTCCAAGATGTCGGTGAAATAATTGGAAAAATAAACGCGTACGCGCGGGTGACCCACACACGTAATAGGCGATCGTAATATCAGATTTGCCCCCTTTTATTGCCGTGTAATTTTGTTAATAAACTTCGCGGAGCGGCGACGAAAATGGCGGGCCTGCGAAAAATTACGACCCGACCCATTACGGACATATAAAAAAAATATGATCCCGCCCTTCGAACTATTAGGATTATTAATATCGTCCCTCGCGTTTTAATTGTAAAACTTCCAACTAATTTCGCGGAGTAACGTTTTGCGAAATTAACTTTTTTCGTACGGCTTCGCAGCGGGGGAATTCGGTTTTAAAAATGAGTTAGAGTTCGGAAAGTACGGCAAAGAGAGAGAGATAGCTGTGTGCACGTCTTCTAATTAAGATCATTCCATGTAAATTGCCCGGCAGGGGAAAGGGGGAAAATTAATACCGGGAACTTTTACGAGATTAAAACTGTCGTTTTTTTTTTTCATATCCGGGCGATTATTATTAAGGTCTGCGCGGGGTCAAAGGTCGCGTTTTTGATTGAACCGCGGCGACGCGACGGACGCCCCCGTCGATGATGAGTGTCGGTAGTTATTCTAAAAATACATTATTTCAAAATAATAAAGGTACTTTTAAAATTCGAAAATGTCGACTAGGGGCACCTCAAAAATTAACCAATTTTTTTTTCGTTATTATAATTATAAACTCTGTTTATTGATACATTTTTAGCCCTTTGCGTAATACCAGGGGTAAAACCGCTTAAAAATTCTAAAAAAAACATATTTTATTGAAAGCGTTTTTTTTTGATAATTCTATTAACTTAGGCTAAAGCCCGAGCTTTCGAAAATCTTATAAATACCAATAACAAATTTCTAATCTATAGAAAAATAGTTACTAATCAGTAATTTTTTTTTATTACATACTTTTTAATAAATAATTATAATTATTTATATATAACGTTATAAAGAGGGCAGAGTGGGGCACGACGGCCAGAGGCTTCGCCAGAATTTGGGTAAATTTAGTTAAAGTTATTTAAAAATAAATCTACTTGATGGTTAAAAGCCACAAAAAAAAAATAAAAAGCAGGCCACCCTCCCCAAATATTTCACGAGTTTGTTTTTCGTAAATTTATAATTTCAGGGCTCTTATATATGCGTAAGTCTTTTTTTGCAAATTTGAAGATATCTACATGTATTTCTATTTTTTGCTCCTTAACCGGCCTATCATTACTACTTGTATTATTATTGTTATTATTATTATATCGACCAAAATTGGTGCCCCAGATTGCTCTTGTTACCTTATGTGGATAATTGTATTCAGTCGTAATTAAAGACTATTAAGTAAAAATAAGTAATGAACTTCAAAAACTTTTTTCCAAAAAGTGGGAAAGAGTGTTGTCATTATAAATTCCAAAAAAATGCAAAACGGCTGTAAAGACAATGTTTTTAGAATGCTTCAAATTTCATTTCTAAAATGTGTTTTTTCAAGAGAAAAAAACATTTTTTAAGACCTTATTTTAGGCCTTTTATATCTTATAACCTTAAAAGTGCCAAGACACAAACGAAGGGGTGATGATATCCTCGAAAAATTTTTATCCATATTCATTTATGAATTCATGGAGATTTCACGGAGCTGACACACTAGATTAAACGCATGAATTATTTGCCTCTCGGTTTTAACTCATTATTTTTAATGGAATAAGAGAATAGTAGTCAACTATTACGTTTTATTATCATATCTATTCCAACATACCTAGTTTTTGCTATCAGGTCTAATAAAATAAATACAAGAATGTTTAACGCTGAACGTAAAAAACCTAAAAGCGATTTCTTCTCATCTCATCAAAATCGGCATACCATGCCACCACCCAATTTCGTTAAAGTCCTCCATTCTTATTGCAATTTTTAACTAGTTTTGGTTAGTTAGCTATTCATGTTTATTTAGTATTAAAAATACCACGAACAGGCACAACATAAAAAAACAAATTTTTAGGTTTTTCCGCATTTTTACTATTCATGGCCCGTAGAATAAATTTCTCTATAGGGATAAAAAATGTCCGTTTTCAAAATATACGAATGTTTGAACTGTGTCTTTACGACGTACATGCCAAACTAAAACCTCCTGTATGATGAGGTGCTACTTGCTACGACCCAAGGTTGCGAATACTTGGTATTTTAAATTACTTAAATTTCATAAACCGTCGGCAATTATGGATACACAGGGTGTTTCCTAATAGAGCTGTCAACGTTTTTAAGGGATGATTTTTTGCCCATTTTAAGCAGAAAACTTAGTACGAACGTATTGTGCAAAAAAACGTTTTCACATTTTCACCCTGTATATGCGCCACCGCCTCCGCTACTGGCGAATTTGGTTTCGGTTAAAAAAAGAAAGGCGCCCGGTTGCCGTTTGTTTTTAACAAAGGGCGCTTCGGGCTAATCAGCAAGTTGGTAAAAAAACTTGGTCGATTTTTCATTAGCGTCGCCGCCGATCGGAAAATTCGGAATTCTTTTGAGAAGCCGCCAAACTCCATTGTGTTGTTCTCGACGAGAAAAATGGCCTTATTTGGACGAGCGGTCTTGGCGCCGCAAAGTTTATAATTAAAAAAGCGCCTCGAGGGGGGTGGGGGAGTCACGGGCGGACTAGAAATATTCAAAATGCGGGTACCGGCGTCTGCGATTTTCCCGCGCGACAAACTTCTTAATTAATTTGTCGTTTTCGCACCCGGCAGTTTTGCTCGGGTGCAAATATTTACCGTACGATTTTCATTTGATAAATACTTAACACTTACCCTCTGCGGCACGCCCCTGGACGCCGCACGCCCGTGACGCGGGGAACTGGATCCGTGCTTTTCTTTTCTGTGCGAGGTTTTAAATATCCGCTGTATCCGCGAAAATGTGTTCCTCTTCTTGCCGGTATTGGCGTAATTTTGTTCTGAAACAAACGGTACGCGTCATTAGTAAGTAGTTAAGACGCACGGATCAGACGATCCCCTCTCGGATCAAACGTCATCCGGGCGGGGTGGGGGGGGCTACAACTTTAAGATTAGTAGGTTCATGCAGTTTTTTACACTAAACTTACATTAATTTATTAATTATTTTGTTTAAAAAATAGGAAAATTAAGTAATGTAAAGGTTTATTACGTTATAGATTTGTATAAAGGGTAATTCATAATAAGATGCTGACCCTTAAGGATGTGATTCCTCGGATGAAAATAAATAAGAAATACTCCGACAATTTTTCAAAAAGTACCAAACGCAATGAGAGAACTGAATCCTGTAGAATTGCAAGTGATGGTCACTTTTTTTTTGTTTTTGTTCACGTCATTGAATGCTAGTTTTTCATATTCGGTAGTAAATCACGACTATTTAAAAAATATTTTTCTCTGGAAACCCTTCGCCGATGATTTTTATTAAGACATGACAGGGGTTTATGTTAATACAATTCACTTTCGGAAAAATAATCGCATACCACTGAAATAGTATCATGCTAACCCCGACGCCACTTGCGAAAATAGCACCGAAATAGAGTGTAACCTCTACTAATTTTCTTCAAAACATCTAAAGTAGTTTTAACGATAAGCGATTTTTTGTTTGTTTTTTAAATTATATAAAGAATCACATCATAAGGGTCAGAATCTAATTACGAAAAACCCTGTATATAGCTTTAATCTGTAAATTAATTCTTTTTTTACTAGAGTGGAGTTGTTTAAGAATACTTCATTGTCCCGGCCTCTGGTTTGGTGGTCATGCAATTCCTTATAAGTGGTACATAGATGCGGATTTTTCTTTATAAATAATAGATTTTCTAAGATAAAAAACGAGGGAAACGTAAGAATTTCCAAGTCTCCGCAGGGAAGTATATTTATTAATGACATAGTTTCCTGTGGATCAGATAATAATTATGTATCACTATTTGCTGATGATACAGCTGCAGTGCCGACATGGAGGATCTCTCTAACAACTCTAATAGTCTTATATCAAATCACGATAAAACTGAATTGATTCATTTCTCACTACGAGTCATAGATAAGAGCATCTGAGTTAAGTGTAATAATAAACCGATCGAGGCGGGTTGCGAAATTTCCGGGAGTTTATTTCGATTCTGGTCTTTTGTTTGTTTGTTTGTCCATTTCAACTTGTGTTTGTTTTTTATAACTCTATGTATGATTTTAAAAATGCTGTGTATCTTTATTGGTTATGTATTTTGACGTTATCCTATACTTACAATGTAAGTCGTATGGAAATAAAGTATATTATTATTATTAATCTACTAATAATTCGAATTGCTTTTCGTTCTCATCTGAACAAACGGTGGCTGCCAGCAGCATGGACCAATTTTAAGAACGCATATAGGAGGTGTGAATTAAAAAGTGCAAAATATGCAATCCTTAACACACCAGGATGAAATACAAATTTTTGGTCAGTTTCTGAGCAACAAAATCTATATGGGAGTCCTACTGAAGTTTTGGGTCAATATATCTGGCAAGAAATGTGGTACTTATTTTATTAAAATTGACTGTACTTAAATTTTGCATGGAAAAAGGCACTCTCTCTCTTTTATAATTATTTAATAGTATATTATGCACCAAGTGCGGTAAACGGCATTTGACTCACGAGTTTATTTGACACGAGCGGGACGAGTGTTTAATAAAGGAGCGAGTTAAAAAGTTTACCGAACGTGTTGCATACTATACTTTTTCTACGACCGTTAGTTTTTGCGTACATTTTCGCAAAACACAAATACATTCACTGACGTGACTGTCAGAATTGATAAACTTCAAAATTCAAAGCGTGGGAAATATCCCCGAAAACATCCGATTGCTGCCAAATATCCGAAGTGTCCCGGATTCGTGGGAAACGAAACTGACGTGGTAAAGTGACGCTTCCCGCACGCTAAATCGGTGGGTAATTACGTATTTTACAGACGGGAGTAGAAAAAACCAGTGTTCAGTCTGTGCGATCCTGGAACTATCCAACATTTCTCCTAATGAATCATAAGAAACAGACACAGTGGTGTCATCAGCAAAAAGTGTGTAAACAGATATAGGAACCACAAAGGCAAGGTCATTTATATATATTAAAAATAATATGTTTATCGTAGTAGAACACATAAGATATATAAATTGTGTAAAAGTAAAAGTTTGACTTAGCGGTTATTTACATTATTCTAAAACTATGTTTACAACTGCATACTTAATTAATTTGGTATGTCGTATGTAAAATGTGGAATTACCTGCTGAATGTAGAATTTATTAAGCAATATATTCCAATTTGAGCATAATTTAGAGATGCTGTTGATACTGTGTACTGAAGTACATGTTGTGGTGTTACGTGTAAGACACAATGTTGCTCCCACCTGCTGCATTTTATAAAAATAAATTTTAAAGACTCTACTGTGAGGTCAAAGAAAAAACGGAAAAAAATGTTTTTCGTTATGTTTTTACCTATTAATATATAAATTTGTTACCTTTTTTTTTATAGAGCGATAGTGTAACTTAAGTTTGATTCATGTAACACATTGTTATTATTTTAGGCATTTCAACAGAGAAAGGTGCTTTGACATTAAGAATAACTATAAATCAAAACGTTAAATGCATTATTGCAAAACAATGGTTTAACTTTTTTAGAGCTATGACTAATGCGAAAACAGAGCATGAATGATACTTTAGATGTATAAAAACCCTGTTATTGTTTTATTCCGTTTCTTTCGAGCAATCAAACTTAAATATTTTAAAAAATCCGTTAACAATATTTATATAAATAAAGTTTTTTTTTTTGTTAAATTGTTACTTTTGGGACACCCTGCATTTTTTGTTTATTTAAAAATAATCACTTCAAAATGTTTTTACATTTTGTGTAGTGTTATGAAACCGTTTTCATGATTTAATTAAAAACTGTTTGTAAATATAGATTTTTTTTGTAATATTTTTTTCTTTTTATTGTTGTGTTTCTATTAATATTAAGTAAAATTTATTGGCATTACAAAAAAATCGAATTTGTCAAACACGTAGGGTTGCTCTGGCCCACTGTGTGCCGCGGAAATCCCGAAACGTGTTTGTTTCCAGTATAATGCGGCATAAATATTTCACAGCTTTTTGTAATTTGCCGCCGCGCGGATATACGGGAACGCGTTCCTTACCATGCATTATTCACGAACGCCTTTTTCGTTGGGCCGCGCCTCTAGTGTGTCCCGCGTGCGTTCGGAAAGTGTTTTTTTTTAAACTAGTCCAAAATTACCACCCACTTAAATATTGATGACGGCAACGCGGAAATCGTTGCAGAAACGTCAAACGGCGCGCGGCTTATAAATTTTTGACGCGCGAACAATAAATCATCTTCTTCGACCCCCTAAACCCGCCGCCCTTGTGTACAAATTCGTACACAACGCGATGTTTTGTGTGCGGCGGCGAACTTCGGTAAGACCCGGCTGAAGAAACTTCGCACGTCCCGTCCGATACGCAAACATATTAATATCGAAGGTTGGAGGGCGTATAGTCGAAGTGCAAATGTTCCCCCTTACAATACGGAATTGTAACCGTAGGAATCCCGGGCTCGCCATTTATTTTCCAATTCATTGGAAGACATTACAATTAACTATACTTTCTTGTTAATACAAATTAAGGTTTCATTTGCATAAAAGATTGCACAGGAACTCATACACATAGGAAGCTAAAATTATAGCAGACCTGACAAGAAAAGCTGTAAGAACAAAAGTGGGTCTATTGACGACTGTCGACTTAAAAGGCACCCGAGTCGAATGGAAATGGAAGAAAATATTTTAGGTAGATTCTGCCAAAAAGACGAGGAGACACGCACGTACTATGAGAACGTGAAGGGCCTATCAGAGAGCACGAACTACACCAAGGAGCCACTATCGAAGGTGTGGAGTCTAATCAAAGCTGTAAAAAAATGGCAGCTGCCACTTGCCACTGGTGGTTGTTAATTTAGCACAATCTACGTGTACGTATGTGAAATAGTTTGAAAGAACAGAACGATACGTATTAAATTAGAACATTTTGAGCTCGGAATAGTTTCTTTCTGTATATGGTAACGACAATAATGGGGCGGTGGATTTTTTAAATTATACAGAAAAAAACCGCAACTTGTTTATGGTAAAATAAATTGATTTTGGATTTTTGAAATTATCAAAAATATCGAGTCGAACTTGCTAACGTTTCGCCAATCGTCAGGTAGTGTGGAAGATTCTTTGAAAAGTAATAGAATTTTGGTTGTATAACTTTAATTTTAATTAATTTTTTATTTATATTTAATTTGTAATACACTTGGCCAGATCTTTTACACTGGGTCTTATGTAATTAAACTTGAACTTTAGCAGAGTGACTTATTCCTTAGATTTTGAATGATTAAGGTTACATCGAAGGAAAAACCACCTTGAAAGCTCGAGTAGATGGGGTTGGGACGTCTCATATATAAAACAATATTTTCAAAGAGTGAGTCACCCCGTATCTACATTATCGGGCCCGGTATTTCGCGGGTGGGTAAACATTCTAAAAGTTAAAGCCATTAATCACGGCACGCACGGCCGAGTATATCGCGTGTTGAGCTCAATATAAATCGAACGTCCCGGAGCCGTCCGATAAGCGGGAAAGATTGCATTCGAACCGTGTGCAACTTTGTAGAGGGCGACTCCCGGAAGAACCCGCCGATTTTGTCGAGAACGTCGTCAAGCATTAACTATGGCCACTGAAACACTATTCGATGGCACTTGTTGGTATAGCTTCGTATTAGCGAAATTAATGGTGGGATTCTAGATTCAATATTTGAAGGAGTTAGCAATTGGTGTCTCCCACTGCGATCCTAAGAATCTATTGTCACTTTCTCGATAGCTATGAAGATTTATTTAGGGTCTTCTCTCTGATTAGTGATAGTTTGTTGACTCTGATTTGGTTACGTCTGGTAGGTGAAATCGCACTCTCATAGCCCTTCATACCGGCGTAGCACACAAGTGGCTGTTTTCTCCTCTTCTTGGCAGGATCTACATTCACAAGCTTAGATGTCTCCTAAGGCGGGAGTGACAGCCTTCCTTTTGTAGCATAGCAGGTCTGCTGTAAATTTGATCGACGGACTTCTGAGGAATGCTTTGACCTGTATTTGTCTTTGCATGTCTTTCCACCATTACCGGGATTCTCCTTCCATCCTTTCCATTAGTTTTGTGGCATTCGTGTCCTACCCATAATAACGTCACTTTAATCTGACTTTTAATCTTTGTGACAATCCAAAACCAAGTAGTAGATGGCAATTGTTTTAATACGAATTACGAATCAGTACTCCATTGTGGTTACCTTAACTTGGAATACTATTGTTAACTTGCCAATTGGCATAGAAATTTTTATCGTCATCTTTGGTTCATATATTCCAGTTGCCACTCCTTATTGGTGGGCCACATTTCCAGATTTTTCTGATTGCAAGCAGTACTTGGATATGGTGCTGCCCATAGACCTTAGAATTTGGTCTTTTATCATCTCACCATCGGTCCCCGTGCTATCGTCGGTAACGCAAAAACTTGTGCAGTTAACCCCATCTCGCGGTTAATATCCGACTCTTATTTCCATGGCGTATTACGGCTTAACACACTTCGGAATTGTCGTTAACCGTTACGCAAACTTGTCCCCGGGGCGGCGGCGGCGGCGGGTTAACTTTGCGCAAAGTGCCGAGCTTACCGGCGATATTGCTGATTATGCTAAACGGGGTCCCAACTCTTAGAAGCGTCACTTTGGATTGTTTCCGTCACTTAACGCTAAGTTTTGGGCGTTCTGTTTCAGGCGAATCGAAGCTACTTCCGGGTTAGGGTCGGCTTCTGTCACACGGATACGCCAGGGGTTACGAGACGTGACCTTCAGGTAAGTGGTACCGTCTATAGAACCCGCGTTGATTTATTTAAAATTCTTTTATCTATAAAATCGACAGCCCGATACTCAGAGTCAAAAACCACTCGTCTCCCCACCTCTTTCGATAGGTAGAACGTCAAGGGGATACAAAAGTTGAATTCTGAATGTAAAAGTTATTTCCATAAAAACTGGAGATATCAAATCGGTTTCGAAAACGTTCGGATGTATTGCCCTCCTTTTAGGAGTAATAATAATAATATTAATAAAAGGTTATTCACATTTGCACGTCGCAGTAAAGTTTTCACAGTGTATTAACTAATTATCACATAAGCAGTAGAATTCTTCTTATTTGTGATACGCCTAATTCTGTACTGTAATCGATTTGAAAATTTGCTGTCATAGTCAGGAGTTATACTTTATTTCCTAATTTATGCTAATAATTTTCTTACACCTAATTTAAAATTATATTATTTGTAAATATATCACGAAATATTTTTTGTGATACGTTTTAACTCTCGTTATAATTTAACTATTTTTGGAGCTAGTTTCATGGTTCCTAGAGACATTAACATAGATCTCTTTGTAAAGTGTGTCATATCTGTGGATTACACTGTCAGTTTGAATTTTACTTCTGTTATATGAATAAAAAAAAATTAAAACAAAAGAGCTGCTTAATACGTATTGTTTGGGGTTCTGTGTGCGATGGGTCCCTAGGAATCACCTATGTATTATTCCCAAGTGCTTTAAATAGCACTTCTCCAATTAATACCGTCCTATGACAATTGGAATTGCACAGACATTTTACCGATTGCACTTTTGAAATTGTTGTCTTCAGAGGACGAAAATTTTTTTTGTAGATAAGTGTTGGTTAGAACGACCGCCGTGTTGTTCGCATAACAAACTTTCTTGGCTTTGCTGCTGGCTTTTGGGATGCTATTTACATAAATAAAGAAGAGTGGCCCTAAAACTGTTCCTTGTGGAACGTTGAAAATTATTTATTCAAACTGGGTGTCTATGTGAAGTGTAAATGACTACCGTGTAGTCTTTAGAGCAAACTATCCTAGCCTTGTTGCTTGCTTGAGGTAATAAAGGCGGCGCTAAAATTGTTCCTTGCGGAACGTCAAAATTCATAGTTTGTCGGACTGTTTGCTCACCATTCAAGAATACTTTAATTTCAAAATATTAAACTTAATGGAAAAGAAAACAGATTTTAGTGTGTGTTGCCAATTCCGTCGATAATATCTTTAGTTTTATGGGGTGATTCGCGTATTAATACGCGGGGCGTATTAAAAAATCAAACGGGTTAAGGTAGGTAAACTTTGGCGGCCGAACTGGCGGCGGCGCCGACGACCGTCCAAACTAAACATTTTCCAAAACGGGTTAAATGAACCGCGTCCGTGTCAGCGGCGGCAGCGCCCGCAATTTATGGCACAATTTTAAGGGGGAGGCGTAAAATGTAGCCATAAAAGTAGCTTTTTAAGGCCAGATTAATGACCTTGCCCCGCACTATATATTTCCCGGGCGCTTTTCGCCCTTAATCTTGTGCACGTCGTTTTTTCGCCGTCGCTCTCGCCCCTCTCCCCATCCCGTAATCCTATCCGCACCCCTCCGCCCCCCGGCAAAGTCAATTTGGGAAGTTTTACGGCAAATAATTTAATCAAGACTTTTACGTCGCAACTCTCCTAGAAGTTCTCTAATTTTTATGGCCGGTCGTCTTTTGTTTTTTTTTTATGCGCCGTTATAAAGAGCCGGGGCCGCCCCCAGGGTTCGCGGCGGCGGCCGGAACTAAATTAAAAAGTGTTGAGGGCGTGCGGTTCGGCGCTTTTATAGTGCGATAATCCGCGAGAGGGTGTAAAAACGGGATTACTCGGCGGGAATTATTGTTAAACCCGCCGAGAGTGGGAAGGGGGGTTCTTATTCTTCGAATGGCAATGCTAAATTAACCACCGAGCTCGCCCGAATTGTTCCAAACTCCTCGGAGTCGGATTTAAAAAAAAAAGTTGAAAAAGTTTTAAAGCCCCCATTTATGAGCCGCCGCCCCCCCGTAAAAGCAATCATAACTTACCGTTGGGCGGGAACTCGTAGAAATACGCCGATCTCGGACTTAGGCATCTGTAAAACAAAAGGATATACGTTTAAAAGTCGGCACGAAACTTTTCCAATATTTCGTCGGGAACGGCTCCGGAGTTTTCCGGGTTTCGCTCGCGAGCGACGAAGAGAGACGGACGACGGGGGGCGCGGCGGGAATAACGTTATTTTCTAAGTAAATCCGACAATAAAATTGGGATTTATGCAAACGCGTTTGGCCGGATTTGCGCGACGTCCCCGCCGCCCCCGCCGCCCCCGTCGACGACATCCGAGGGCAAACATTATAGTTTTTAAAACTGCGCGGCAAGCCAAACATTTGTCTCGGAATTTTCCTTTTCGTTTAGTTTGCGATTTCGGAGGAAGCGGCTCGCGGGAGGCGGTTTTAACCGCCCCCTCCATCGGAAAGGTTTGGCGTCGTTTGTTTCTCTTTGTCCGATTTTTCGTCCGAAAACACATTTCTTAACACGTTTTTCAAATGGATTCGGAATATAAACGAATATAAACCGAGTAAGTGATGGATTTTAGTAATACGCACGTTCGTCACCGAACTAATTTAGGAGTTTTCTAAATTGTAAAGGATAAGGTTCGAATTTCAATTTGACCAAGACCGCTTAGAAAAATAAATATTATCTTGTTTTAGAATTGTGTAATGAAATAGTTAAAAGTAAAAAATTAAATATCGAATGGTATACCGACGAATTACGAGAGATGCGGTATCAGCTAAACTTTCTCCAGGATATCAAAAAACAAAATCCTAAATTTCCCCATATCGAAAATATATTATAATATCATAGTAAGTAAAAAGTCCGCTAACTCGTTCTACATAAATAAAAGCATAACACTTCTAGGCAGCATGGGAGGTCATCAATACGAAACGCAAGAGTGGTTCAAATTTTCATTCACTGGGTATCACTCCCGACAATTTTAATGAATATTTTTCAAACTTTGGAAATAAACTAACTTCAAATATTGCTAATACTTACGATCCAACTGAGTCTATGAGGGCGCATACGGATAAGCGTTTTTCTTTCCGTGAAGTGTCATATCTTGAAATGAGAGACATCCCGATCAGTTTTAAGTGTAATGATAGTTAAGACAATAAAGTAAAAAAAATGTCAATACATTAAAGCTGATGAACAGGTGTATATCGGAGAGTATTTTTCCCAACTCCTTGAAGTTGTCCAGAGTGATTCCAGTTTTCAAGTAGATATTATAAATAATTATCGTCCAATATCTATTATCTCCACAATCGGTAAAATTTTTGAAAAGATTCTATATTCTCAATTAGCAGCTTACTTCGAGGACAACCGTTTGTTGTCTCCGGCCCAGTTTGGGTTTAGACGTGGTAAATAGACTTGTGGAGCGATTAGTAGAGTTCCTGATCAGGTTTACGCAGCTTTTGAAAGCAGGGAGTACTCCGGCACAGTTCTATGCCATCTTTCGAAAGCGTTTGACTGTGTCCTGCATCCTGTTCTTCTGAGTAAATTGCAAATTGCATAAGAACTATTATGGACCTAAATTTACTTACTTACGTATGTGTCACATCATTTTAAGGAGAAAGAAATCGATTTTTGTTTGGACTATAACTCGAAAATGGTTTACCTAAAAAATTGTTAGCCATACCACTGAATTCAACTTAAAAATATCTAGCATTTTTCGCAAACACCGTTCTACCTCCGCTGGTTACCGAGAAAACTAGTGATTGCAAGCAATTTGGGACACAGTGTACATTATTCTTATTATTTACTGTTGCTTGAGCGGCATCCGTTAATATAACAATTTGTTTTGCATTTTTTAAGCTTTTTTTTAATATCCAAGACTAGATGAATCCACAAAAGCGAATCAAGTAGATTAATATTTTTTCTGCCGGAGATCTAATTGACTTGTAAAATCATCAATTACACTGGGCGAAAGATATTAATTTTGAGTAGTGCGTTTAATACGTTTCTGCACCCGCTTACGAACCCGATAGACGGACGGTTTTCCTCATCACAGACTAATAAACGTCAACAATAATGTTGTAACGTTTGTTGTCAGTGTCATTTTGAGAGTGTGAAAAGTGGAGGGGATTTTTTAAAAAGAAATTAGCTTTTGACAAAATTCAAAATGCAGGAAGCCAGTAAAGGCAAGTGTTGAGACCAATTTTATGCTAAGTAAATTACTCTAAATGCAATTATCCTTAAAGAATTCTACATTGGTTTGAGTCATATTAAAAAAAATAGCCCAAAAAATATGTTTGTAATTTATAATATGTTACAATTTCGGCATAATTTAGGGACGCTGTTGATACTATGTATTAAAGTAACATGTTGTGGTGTTACGCGTAAGACACAATTTTGCTCCCACCTGCTCCATTTTATAAAACTAATTTTTAAACAACTTGCCCGGTGGGCAAAAAAAAACGGAGAAAAATGTTTTCCGTTATAAATTTTGACCTAATTAATATACAAATTTGTTTTCTTTTTTTTAAAGAGCGATAGTGTAACTTAAGTTTGATTCATGTAAGACATTGTTATCATTTTTGGCATTTCAATAGTGAAAGGTATTGTCCTAATTTTTGTTTACAATGGGTTGTCGTGCTCTTTTGACAGACACTAAGGCTAACTATAAATCAAAACCTCTTATTGCAAAGCAATGGTTTAACTGTTTTAGAGCTATGAATGCAAAAATTGTAACAAAAATAGAGCAAAGTGTTATTGTTATTGTTTTATTTCGTTTCTTTCAAGCAAATAAAGTTAAATATTTAAAAAATCCGATAACAATATTTAGTTTTAGTATATATTCAAATAATTTTTTTGGGACATCCTGTATTAAAAATGTTTCTACATTTTGTGTAGTGTTATTAAAAACTTTGTAAATATATATTGTATAAAAGTGTGATGTTCGTAATATTTTTTTCTTTTTTTATTGTTGTGTTTTTATTAAAGTTAAGTAAAATTTACTGGCATTACAAAAAAATCGAATCAGTCAAAAGCCTAGAGTTTCCGTGGCTCACTGTGTGGTGGTGGTGGGGGAAAGATATTAAGACGCTATTGGTTGCCGCCGGATAAAGTTACCATCGTCGTCGACAGCGGTGACGATATTCATCCAAATAACCGTAAAGGAATATTCGCGGGATATGTTTTACGATACGATATTATTGCGGCGGCAACTCTTTCTACGCGACCGCCTGCGATTTGTAAAACAATTTCAGCCATAAAGCAAAGTCGACTTTACGAACCGGAATGGTTATTACTCGTCGTTGGGGGGGGGGGGGGGGGGGGTCAAGTCGTCGGATGAATCATCGAAGTTTTTGATCGCGCAAACCGAATTTTCGATGTTCCCGTAAAAGGTTATGGCGATGCGGCGTCGCAAATCCGACCAGATTCGATTTCCACCGACGCGACAGTTTAGACGATACGGTACGGGAGGAGGGGTTTTGTTTGCGACCGACAGCAAATCCGAATAAGATTAAACCATTACTGGGACACACGTTTTCGCGGAAGTTTTCTCCGCGTCAACTTTTCCGCGGAAAAGTTTTATTCGGTTTCCACGCCCCGGGGGCGGAAAAGTTAACCGCAATCTGCGGCTTAGAAAACTTCTATAACGGAAAAATGCTTTGTGTTTTCTTTGTGTCGCGGCGTAAAAAGTCGCGTGCGGTCCTGTCAGAATCAGTGGCGTCGAATAAAAATCATGCCGGTCGCTATATCCATGGCGGCTAATCTCTTTAATTCGAAGAACATTAATTTTAGCAGTCTATATACATATCCAGGAGGGGTTATCTCTATAATTTGATGAACACTCATTTTAGCAGTGTGTATATGTATCCATGAGGGGTTATTTCTATAATTCGATGAACACTCATTTTAGCAGTCTATATGCATATCCATGAGGGGTTATCTCCTTAATTCGATGAACACCCTTTAGCAGTCTATATACATATCCATGGCGGGTGATCTCTTAAATTCAATGGACACTCACTTAACCTACATATCTATACCGGGTTATCTCTTTAATTCGATGAACACTCATTTTAGCAGTCTATATGCATCTCCATGAGGGGTTATCTCCTTAATTCGATGAACACCCTTTAGCAGTCTATATACATATCCATGGCGGGTGCTCTCTTAAATTCGATGGACACTCACTTTATCTACATATCTATAGCGGGTTATCTCTTTAATTCGATGAACACTCATTTTAGCAGTCTATATCCATGGCGGGTGATATCCTAAATTCACACTCACTTTAGGAGTCCATATACATATTTATACATTTACATACGTATACATATATACATATATACATTATTTATTTATTATTATATTATTATTTATTTATTATTGAGTTACAACAATTTATAAAAGATATAAATTATTAAAAGAAAAATGTATTAACGCTAAGGGGAGGTAGTATCAATGTATGAATCATTTAACACACATCCACATACTTATAGATTTTTCCCACTTATGGCGGGAGAGAAAAAAATCGAAAAGTGCGGGTGCTAACCCGAACATTGTCGAAGATATTTCGCGAAAATTCGAAAAAGGACAATGCTACGCATGCGCTAATCCGAACATATTCGATGAATCAAAATTTTTGCGGACCAACCCGAACACACGCCAACATTCACGACACTTAAAATTTTCGCGCCAAAAGTGGTTTAAAACCGGCTCTACTTTACTAACATAAGCAAAGTAAAGATAAGTGATAATACTTACACTTTCTGTAACCTGGTATTACAAATGAGTCAATAAAATGTTATTTAAACAAACGAGCAAGTGTAATTTCGTTCCATCTTCCATGACTGGACTTCTTCAATTTATAGCACACTAATTCATTTAAATATCAAGCACGTGTATTGTATCCCCTCTACTTTATTAATATCGTTTGTTACGGTTGTATTTCAAAACTATTTCGTGTTTAAAAATTCCCTATTTGTCTCTTTTTCATTCCTGCAAAATAGTAGTATATTTGGTTATCAATGGAAATATTAATCAAACTGCAATGGATTGGTTTCAAATAGGTAACGATACAACTATATT